GTCCTTTTCCGCTAGATCCCAATAGCATCACCAATCATCACCAGCTATAACAACCAAAAATGTCTCCCAGCACTGCCAAATGTTTCCTAAGGGACAAAATCAGCTCCATGGGGAACTACTCCCTTAAAGCAACTTTATTTCAGAGTCCTGATCTCCCCTGTATTCTGCAGCTCTTTATCATCTCACCTTGAGAAGCAGGGACCAGCTTTTATGGTTCTCCTTTGTCACACTTGCGTGCTTGCTTCTCTGCAATATGCACATCAGAAACTGACATTTCATTAACGTGTGTCTCTTTTCCAGGACTACCAGCCTGTTTTTCTTATATCTACATGAATTAAAAAAGGGTCACAATATCTTCTCCAAAGTGAAAACTCTAACACATAGCAAACGATTGCCTCTATTACTAAGAATAAAAGGAAAAAATGTACTCTAGTAAAGCATTTGATTTCAGGATAATCTTTTTGGGATCACATTCTAATTAGAAATATTTTCCAACTGACCTGAAGTATACATGAATCGCATACAGGTTGCATTTTGATTTATTTGTTTATTTTTAAGCATTGTGTCTTGGAAGGTTGGATATACTTTTCAGTGCTAACATCTGTGAAGGAAGTTTACTGCACTCAACAGTGATTTTTCCTCCAAAGCTACCTAACTTCTCCTACAATCGTTGAATAAAGAAGGGTAGACAAACAAAGGACAGTCTTTCTATTTCTTGAAGCCGACTTTAGAATGACAGTAATAATTAAGATTCATTTTCTCTCCCCTTCTAGACTGTGCCCAGACCTCTACTGAGCAAGCCTTTGCAAAAGATGGCATTTTTAATCAGTGATTAATAGCACCCACCGCTTTCAGGCAGGAGAATGTACTCAGTGACCTCTAAGGGGTTGAAGTACTGAGTTATGTTTCAAAAGCTTGACAGTGCCAAGATGTCTTAAAGCCTGTGAAGTTTTAGGACCAACATTATCAGTGAACTGCTTGATGATTTCAAAATGTAGATTAGCAATGATGATGGATTGGAAGCTAAAGCAAGAAATTATGGAGCAACAGTATTTCCGAGTTAAGAAACAGCTCTTAGTTCTGTTTTTAACAAATTGACCTGGCTTCATTCATTGTCTGCAATCTTCCTTAAAGTGACCCAGTAGATAAATCTTTGAATTCCCAAATTCTGTCCCTGGCCCTCAATGCACTATTTTTCTTTGGTGCTCCTATACATTACTATTTCCCCTTATATGCCTGACTCCAAAAGTCTCTCTTTTCCTAGAATATGGATTGTCTTTATCTGTCTACTTTATGCTACCTTACATGTTAGGTAATATAAACTCGACATGCTTCAAACTCAGCACCTTTTCTTCCAAATGTCTGCTTCTTATTGGACACCATCCTATACTAGTCATCCATGCCTAGGCCAAGATCTCATTTCCTTCTGTTTATATTGTCAGGAATCCTGATTTGTCACTCAACCAGGAATAATGTTCTGTGAATTCCCCTTCTTAAGTATCTTTCCCAATTTTCTCATCTCCAGCCCCGCTGTTTATCTAAGTAGCACCTTTCATCCCACTATCCAAACGGGAACCCTTTTCATTTCTGCACTTCTATAGAGATTACCTTCTAGATGCAAACACATACATGGTTTTGACAGAACCTTGCAATGATATTCAGTTATTCCTTGCATCATCAGTCTAGCCTTTGTCACCCACAGAGAGCTGGTGAGCTGGTGAAGCAGGAGGAGTCTCTTGTTTATCTGTCTTTCATTTTTATTTCCTGTGCTTTATCTCCGGAGTCTAAGGGTAATTTTTCTGTCACAATTCTTTAAAGTGCCACTGGGGTTATAACTCTGCTTTTACATTGTTTTTCATTTTTACGCAGCCTCCAGCTAAGTTTGTTTCTTTTACTTTTGAAAATATATCAAAAACCGTTATGTACTTGTAAGAACACTCTTCTAAACACTGTAGAAATATTAATTCATTTAAGTTTCAAACAATCTAAATCTTTTTTCTGCAAATAAATTGAAGGTTATATTAGTGACATTAAATACCAAACTGTAATGTTTTTATTGTAAGATATTACTTAATACTAAAATGAGAATTCCTAGAAAACTGAAGTTTGAGATGATATCAGGCCTTAGCCTGGAGGTTCTAAATCTCCTTCACTAATATCTTTTCCTTCCATGTTTTCATCAGGAAGTCTTCTGCTTTACTGTGTATTGAGGATACTGAATTCATTGTACTAAAACATGAAGCAGTCATATATTTTCCAAACATTATAGTTATACCTCAGTTCACAAATTCAACTCATTCCAAGATTCAAGGGAAGATAGTTGCTATGGTCCTATTTGTCACCCCATGCAGAGTTCTCAAGTAGAAGCAATATTTTGCTGAATTCTTGTTTGCAAATCAAATTGTTTGTGAACAGAAACATTCACAAACTGAGACACTATTATACTTTAAAAATGAGTTAAAATTTTATTTAGGGTGAATGGTCTCCGCACCTTGGTTTCTTCTCTCAATTCAGGATAAATATTATTATTTACATCATAGAGTTGTTTTGAGGCTTGAGTTAATTAACACAAAAGAGCACTTAGTTCATAGTTACAATCTATAAAAGTTCATTTTTATTTATTTTGCCCCTGTCATGACATCTAGATGGCCAAAGATGGCAAATACTTTGAATTCTGGAAGTATAGAATACCCTGTGACATACATTAGGTGTCCTCAGAATATTGGCCTGATAATGAATAAAGAAGAATCACAAGGAGGATGTTAGAAGTTTAAACTGAATATGAAGATGATGTGAACATACAACGCCATATTCGATACAGATTTCAGAATAACACTTAGAAAAATACTTGATTCTCCTCAGACCCTTACTATCTCTGTGATATAGAAAATGATACAGCTATAATTCAATCACAGATTAAATTATCTTCCTGGGAACTGATGAAAGAATTTGGAAATGCTACTTCATTGGTAGACGGTGTCTAAACAACTTAAAATGACAGAATTAGCTTAGTCATATTTCATGTAGCTGGTTTTTATCCCAACCATCTTTTCAAAGGAATAGCAATGCTGTTCTTTCAGAGCTAATCATTGCATGAACCTCTGCAGGATTTTTAATAGATCTTTTTATCATGTATTACCCACTTCCCATAGGTATTTTCCATGTACTTGGAAGACATCAGAGCCAAATCACCTGACAATGACAAACCCAAACAGAACAAAACCAGTGTCTCTTTTCCTGTATTCTAACAAGCAGGACTATGGAGTGGGTATGATGTGGTTTGTCAGTCGGTGTCTCCATTACTGTCACTCTTACAGTCATGAAACCAAAACCAAAATTAAAAGAGGAAAATCAACCATAGACATTTTCCAAATAGGTAAATGTTTAGCAGTGTGCAGACTAAACTGGCTTATGGTTAAAATTTTCTCCAATATTTATCCACATGTCTACTAAAAAATTGAGCCATGTGTAAAAGCCTCAATCATTAGCCTCTAAAAAGCTGATTTGACAGAGCTGATCATCAAGGAAAGTATAGATATTTATTGACTTAGAGCAAGTCACAAGAGAAGAAAATCAGGAAACATTAGCCAAAGCCAATGGTTTTGTGGTTGGATTTTTCTGGATTTATACTAATAGAAAATAGTCTTCAGTCCAAAAGATCAATTCCAAAATAAATAAAAACATTATCACACTAGCTTTAAAGAGATGCCCTCACGCTCACTAAGGGCCTGGGAGGAGGAAGGTCCTTAGAGAATTATCTAGGAGTAGATGACATTCTATTTTGTTTGCTAAACATTCTTGACCTTCTGTCCCCTATAAAAATAGTTTCTTTCAGTGCAGCTGAGAAAGCTGTGATTTTGTTGTTCAGTCCAGCGAGACTGGTCTCCTTCATTTTGTTGAAGATGGGTGTGGTTTAACTTTCAAGAAGAAAAGAAGGAGGCTGTAAGCTTAGCTATCTCCCACTCCAGTGACTTACGTATTTCCCTTTTTCTGCTTTTAGAATCTCCAGTCAAAAAAGAACATCCATTCAAAGATTTTGGAAATATTCAAGATTGAGAGTATAACAAATTTCTCTGTTCTTTGCCTTGGTTTAGGCCCTTTCCTAGCCTGACTTACTAGGTTCCAGGCTGCCTGGGAGCCCTGTGGTATCAGGCAGGACATTTTGATGTAATCCCACCACCATTGCTGTAGCTATCTAAGCTGGAGGATTTATTAGTTGTGAATGTTCATTTTTGTTTTTACTGGTCTAGTGCCAGTAAATAAGTCACCCAAACCATGGCTGAGTGTCATTTGATAGGAAAAGGCTGGGATCACAAGGAAGCCTTCTGTCTTTCAACCAAAAAAAAAAAAAAAAAAAAAAAACTAGCTGAGGTAAGCAGTGTCAAATCCAGCTGCATCAACATGATGGTGCTGAGACAAATGAGAGCCTGCCCTGCTGGAGACGGGCTGGAGAGCGGAGGGCTCTGAGCTCCTCCGCACAGCCTAAGCAGTGGAGGCTGCAAGGGGCTGCTGCTGTAAAAATTCTAGCTTGGATACGAAAATTCTCTGTTCTCTTTGTTCTTTTACCGTATAAATGCAGCTCCTCTGAAAAGTGACTAGAGATGAAAATCTCCTCAAATCTATGCACACAAGCGTGCACACGCATAAGCACATGTCACCAGAATAAGAGGGTTGACTCCTGGGCCCCTCCTAGTTCCTGAGAGCTTCTGGCCGGCTGGAGGGCGTGGGGCAGGGAGGTCAGAAGTGGGATCAGGTTGGTTCGGTGCTTAGGGAGCTCGGGGTGGGAGATGTGGAGGAGGAGGCCGAGCTAGAGGAGGCGGTCTGAGCTTCAGACAGGACTGCTTTCTGGAGGCCGCCAGTTCCCTGCGACTGTTGCCTGGGCGATGGCTGGGGGATTATCAGGAATGCTTGGAGACCGCATCCTTCTTTTGGACTCATGGATGGAGCAGAAGGGGGTGGATGGTTTTTCTCTTTCTGCTTCTTCTTTTCATATTCAGCAGATTAGAGCGGCGGGTTGCTGTGGCGACGACACGGAGAAGGCTCCCGCACACCTGCACCGCCACCGGGCGCCGCCAGTGTGGACGCAGGCATCCCTGGGGGCCGCTCTCTGCTGTGGGAAACACGACAACAACAACAAAAGGGAGGCAGGGAGAAGGGAAGACGGAGGAGGGGACGGGAGAAGGGAAGGGAGCGATGCACCACTAGTTTCAGCAGTGACTAACAAAACAGGATAGAAATCCACAAGTCACACAGATGGCGCCCCAGAAAAGGCGAGGAAGCCGTCTGCGGGCCTGCTGAGGAAGGCCAGCAGCAGAGGGACAGATAGGCGCATCCTCTGAGCCACTCCTGCGCCCACCAGAGAAGAACAAAACGTTAAACCAAGAACCTGGATGCGACCATTCTTATGAAGAAAAACAATAGGTAACTAAGTGTCACGCCTGATTAACCAGAACCAGAACCGAAAGAGATTCCCCATTTTTGTATGGCAGCTTTCTAATGGGAAGAAGTATGGTATGACACGGGGAAATAGAGCATATACTTTCTTTTTATGCAGAGAGAGGGAAATGAAGGACAGGGAGAGGCCTGCCGGGCGGACTCCTGAAGTCCTGTAGTTCTCTGGAATGTTCTGGCTCAGCTCCAGGTCCTGCTAATGAAGAAGTAAGCTCCGCACTGTGTCCTGGCCTCACTGCGCCCAGACAACCGGGCCTCTGCCTGCGGGCTGCTCCTTCCTTCATCTGCCTCCTCCTTTTCCCATAATATGACTGTTCTGCATTATTGTCTCTGTGTCCATTCACAAAACATCACAATGCATTAGCCTGTCCAAAGTACTTTACAATGGCAATATTTACAGAAGGTTAAATAAAATATGTATAGAGAGATTAATAGTGACTGTGCAATAGACCTTCTGAACTTCGAGCATGCTGGGCTTGTGTGTTTTTCAAGCTGGATTCTCCAGGCTGCTTTAGTTATTTTAATATCTCCCAAACAATGCACTTAAAGGAAAAGATGATTAGAGGAAAATGTTTTGTTTTGTTTCTCTTTTCCATCCAGTGTGATTAGCAGGCAGTGGAACTGTTCCTTTCACTTTCCGGCTGACTTAGAGCAAGAATGTTTCCTTGAGGTAACTGTGCTACAGCAGAATGAAGTGAAACAGTCAACTATCACATCAAGTTGTACAAAAATAATACTATTTTTGACATCTTTTCAGGTCCCCTTAGTGATCATTGTAGAAGTAGTTTCACTGGATAATCAAATCTGTGTTTCTTATAGATATTTACATGTGTTTCCCACTTTGTAAGGTTAATAAAATAGTTTGGGAAGGAAGGTAGGCATATATTACGTCAGAGATCCACAAACTTTCTTTGTAAAAAGCTAAATATTTTGACCTTTGTGGTTTATATGGTCTCTGAAGCAACAATTTAAACTCCGCTCTTGTGGCACAGAAGTTGCTGTAGATAATGTATAAATGAAAGGAACAGTTGTGTTACAATAAAGGTTTATTTACAAAAATAGGCAACAAGTCCATTTGACCTGTACAATGTAGTTTACCAGCAACCCAGCTAGATCCTATAGAATGCTTGGAAGTATCTCTATTCCAATGCTGTGTTTTTCAGTTTCTCACTTTTGTAAGTTACAGACTAATTCAAATAAAAATGCATCCAATTGGCCCATGTGAACAGACTTTCTTGATCTGATAAAGAAAAAAAGAACACTGAAAATAAAGGGACAGTATATATTTAAATTATTGTGGTAGCTACTAATTTACTCATATCATGTCTGATTCATTGGCAGATAAATGGTCGAGCAGGTTCCACTGTGGGAAAGCAAAGTCCTCCCATTATGATGATGGTAATTTTCAAAGGTCTATTTGGTACCCAGTTTTCTAAAGGATATTGTGCCAGAATGTCTTTTATCACAAGGAGGCAAGCAGGGCCTTTAAACATATTTTGTGGAGTGAGCACCGTATGTAGAAGTGACAGCCAAAACTCCTGGCCAGGTCTCCTTTGAAGAGGAGGCCAGGTGTCCAAGGAGTCAAGCATTCTATGGTATAATTCATGCTAAAGAAATGGGTAGGTAAAATTTTAATTTATATTCTAAAAATGATTTTGTTTTTAAATACAAATTTAGATAACTACCCTCGTACATTTATTGTTTTTAAGAGCTGTAAGTATATTATTCTTGACACAGATTGTGTTCAACACAGTAGAAGGATGTGGAAACACATGTTTACCTCATTCCAACATATAAACTCCAACACTGAGACTTTCTATGTGGGATTTTTTTTAAGATCAATGAGGCACTTCTTTGGGAATTACATTGATATTTGATTACGCAGTTCTGAAAACTTGCCCTTGTGGAGACCCCCAAAGAATATCATCTTTTTGCATAAGAGATGGTAATTATTTCAATGAAATAGAGACTCTGATAGTCTATTATTGGGCAGTAAGAACTGACTGGCATTCAGTCTTAGGGGCAAGGAACAATTTGAAAGAGTAGATATGAATTTCTTCAGAAGCATTTCAGAAATACAGATGGGTAAGACATATGAGAAAAACTTCCATTTATTTTGGTCCAGTCAACCGAAAATTTAAAGTAATTTGATATTTTCAAATCTAATAAAACCAGGGACATCTGGTTGTAATACTTATTATTGCCTCTCACTTAGATGGACCAGCTTATACTCTACATCTTCTAGGTTGGCTATTACTATAAAGACAAAATACAAACATTGCCTAGGATGTGGACAAAAGAAACCCTCCATATACTATTGGTGAGAAAGGCAATTGGTACTGCTACCAGAGAAAACTGTAAAGAAACTCCACACAAAGTTAAAAATAAAATTATCATATGATCCAGCAATCTCACTATTGCATATGTATCCAAAAAACAAAAAGATTAGCATGTCAAAAGGTATCTGCATTCTCATGTTCATGCAGTATTATTCAGAATAATCAAGATATGGAAACAATGTAAGTATCTGTGACTAGATGAATGAAGAAACTGAAATATTTATCAATATATATACTAAATATTATTCATCCTTTAAGAAAAAATGAAAACCTCACATTGCCACTTGTAGCAACATTAGTGTGCTCACAGGACATTATGCTAAATGAAATAAGACAGATATAGAAAACAAACACTTCAAGACCTCAGTTATATGTAAATCTGACATACTCAAATCTATGAGAGCTGAAAGTGGAATGATAATCGTTAGGGCTGGAGGGAAAGAGAAACAGGAAGAAGTCAGTTAAAGTTTCACTTATGCTGAATCAATAGGTTCAGAAGTTCTACTATAGAGCATGATGACTAGAACTGACAAAAACTATTATGTATTTGAAATGTGCCGAAAGGGTAGATCTCAAGTGTTCACATTACAAAAACATACATATATATACATATACATATACACATATATACATATATATACATATACACATATATACATATATATATATATATATATATAATATACACACACAACTTTCATTGCATGCATCAAATTATTTGGACAATTATACATCACTAAAGTTGGAGGAACAAAAAGAGAAACCAGCGTACATTTGCTTATTTTTGCAAAATCATCCATGTAGTTTTAGGACATCAATAGAGATAAATTAGTCATTTAATCAGTAAGATATGTGAAGATGAGGATTATATAGGTTAAAAAAAATGAGGACATATTTCTAAAAATAGTAAATTTCCAAAAGGTACAAAATGGTAACTTCTCCCTGCCTTCTAACTGCATATGTAGGAAGATGCAAAATATCAGTCATATTCTTCTATTGGAATATAAAGTGAAAGTAAATGAACCAGAATAGTGTGCATAAAAATTACAATCAATGTCATTCTCATCCTTTATTTGTGATCAACACAAAATAAAATAATTCCAGGTTGAAACTGTCAGATCTCTACACTCAGATAATGCCTATAATTTCATGTTAATATGATGCAGAATTTTCACAAAAGAAAGTGGATGCATTCCAAGAACTATCTTTCACATGAACTCATTAATCAGAAAATCTCATTAGAAATTTTTAGTGTCATTACTAATGTCAGATACCAATAAAATACCACCCATGGAAATACTGTGGTCCTTCCAGAGACCCGAGGTGGTCCTTTTAACTGTTAATGACGGAAGTGACCATCATGGTTTAATCAGTGTTTTGCTGGGAAAATTTTAAATAGGACATGTATGAAAGACATAGCATGTAGATGTTATGATTTATTAAATATGTAAAACAAAGGAAAAGCTAGTGTCATGGTATTTCTTTCTCTGTGCTCTACCAGGAGAAGTTAGAGCAGACATCTAGTGAATTTCTGTCTAATAGAAGGGATTGCTTTGGGCAAATGCCCGCTGATCCCAACATCCCATCCGGATCACCCTCCACTCATTTCTGCTGCACAATGGGATTTGACTACTACTCGGGGTCAGGATTATAACTGCCTGTAATGAGACTTCTGTCTGTTGTAGAGAAGAAAGAAATGTCTTTCCTCTTTTTGAAAAAAAGCATGACAATGATAAATAAGATGCAAAAGTAAAGATACTTCCTCTGCAACACTAGTAACTGAATAGCCAAACCAGTTGCAAGAGAATCAGCAACTGGAGGCCTGAACTTTAATTCTTAAGCTTTAGAGCTAGAATCAAACTCAGAGTAGTGTCTATTACAAGAAGAAATGGAAATATGAAGTAGACCACACTGATTACTAAGTAGATGCCGCACATATTAAAGGGCATTGCTAGAGCCCGCAGTAACTGTGTGGTAAATACAACTACTGCATTTATAGTTATGGAAACTGAGGTTCAGTGAAGATTTAAATTAGAAAAATTATCACAGTAAAAGACACTGCCATTAATCCCACCCAGAATTTTCTCTCTTGCTTTAAGCATACTTATCCACCATTCTTGGCACTTCTTGAAGCAGTACAAGTAATCCTCTATGATAAGTCTCTTTAAATTGTGCTCCATACCTCCCTCGGGGTCCTGAGCTGATTCAAAGCCTGTCTCTCGCTGTCACTTTCACGTTGGGGAAGAACTGAAGTCTCAGGGTTCCAGATTTGGTGAATAAGGTGTCGAGGACCCTCTCTGGTATTCTTACGGGTCTTTCCACTGTGACGGCTTTCACTTTCCATCAGACCTCGGAAAGACATGTGAGAAAGAAGACTTCTAGAACTGCTGCAGCGCGGAGGGACACATGTTTGAACTCAGGAGCAGTATTCTAGGGGAATGAACGGCAGTGTGTTGTGATAAAAATGTTCATGTAAATGTTCACCATGCATGTTGAGCACGCCTTCCTCAAACATTAGAGAGAATTCCAAATTTAAAAATTTTGCCCAAAGTGAGAATTTTGGAGAGAATTTAAATGAGAATTCCAAACAAATTTGTAAACTGGAGTTTTTAAAAAATAATTTGTCCTCATTTCTCAATTTGCATAATGACTGCTTTAAGAAAATTTTGTAGGAATGTAGCTATATAAAAGGAAATTTAAAAACATCATATCTGACAGCAGATGAGAATAAAGCAGAAAAATCTCAGTTCCATAAACATAACGTTATAACTGACAACAAAGCTGTAAATATGTTCCCAGTTCATTAATTTGCTGATGATTGTTATTATATTAATTAAATAGCTGACGTTCACCATTTGCTGAAATGTGGTGACAAGAAAAAGTAGAGTGAGAAAAAATGCCATTACTAATTCTCAGAGTAAATTAAAAATGAAGACTCGCACTTTTTTGGAAATGGGACATTTCTGCAACGGATGTGCATGTTGCAAGGACTTCATAGAGTTATGAGAATTATGTGTGGCTTTGTTAAGCAACTGAAGTAAAGTGATTGAAGCTTCTATGGAGAGAGAGACAGGGAAGGAAAGAGAGAAGGTGAGAGAGAAATAGAGAGAGAGCGAGCGAGCGAGAGAGCTTAATAGGTAGTATCAGAGCCTTTGGAAGGAAGTCCCTTTCCTTAGCAAAGTGTAAAAACTCTATATTGAAAGTGTATTACTATCAGGGATATAGCTCAATGGCATAGCACCGGCCTGACAAGCATGAAGTCGTGAATTCAACTGCTATTACTTTAAAAAAGTATATTATCAACATTCCCTTGAAAATGCAATAAAAGAAGCAATAAATTTTCCTGAAATATGCAGTGTACAAATATATGAAGATAAAAGTTCTAACACCTGTGTTTATTTTCTTCTAGGGGAAAAAACAGCTCAGAAAAACTTGAATGCCTTGTCTTTGAGAATTTAAACGTGCTAATGAGGTTCTACAGGGATCCACATAGTGTGCAAACCCCATGTAGCAAAGGTATGAAACACCAAATAAAGTCATGGTGACCTGTTCACCACAGGATGCGGGTTCCAACTTTGAAATAATATGGATCTCCGTGAGGGCAAAATCAAGGAAATGGGGCAAATTGAAAATTCTAACTGTTGGGAATACATTTCATTGCATTTTTCCATTTCAGTTCAATTCTAATCTCCAAGAAGTATGAGCATTTTTCAGATAGGACAAAAATAAACAGTCTTGGAAGGTAAAACTCTCACAGAGCCTGGGAGGGGCCACCAATAGGTCTAAGTGTGGAAGTTTGTGTGTCTGCAGAAAGACTGCACACCATATGTCTAAATATTTTGAAAATGCACACCTGGATAGCAACATTAAAATTAAATACTGCCCTACCTTCCAGCCTTCAGTGCAGATACTATGTAATGATCTGCAAGACCAGATTCACGTTTACAAGACAGGTTTATTAGCATTCTTCAGAGGAACATGGTGGCAGCAGGGTTGGACCTGGTCCACCGTTCGTTTAGGACTCTGTGCTGCACAAGAGCGCCCAGGCACCAAAGGACACTCCGGCCAGTGCCCAAAGCTCCACCTGTCACCCTCCCTCACATACACAGACACTGTCGCCAGCTGCTGCTCCTTAACTCCATCAAATCCAGTATTGGCATATTTCATCCTAATGAGAGAAAGCTTAAAGAAGAGACAGAACAGGCCGGGAAGTGGATCCCAGAGACTTCTTTAGGGAAGAAGTTATAAGGTTTTGCACACGTAGAGTATCACCTAAAGGGAGGCACAGGTTGCAGATGAGAGCAGCTCTCAGGCCCCAGAGCCCCTGCCTTAGTGTAGGCCCGTGGCCTGTGGGGACAGCTGGGTACTCCACACACTGTCTGCAGTCCTGGCAAGCAAGGAGTTGTAACTGGACTAACATAATAAGCAGTATCAAAAGACTTGTCCATTAGCTCATCTTTTGATGAATAAGTAGAGCATAGCAATTCTAATGTTATCTTTCTTCTAATTTAGAAATTCTGAACTGGAATCCTACAATTTCTAAACATCTTCAGCCATGAGCTCTCCTAACATTTTTTTCTCATAGTAACTCTTTAAATTTCTTTCAGTTTCCCGAAAACTTGTCTTTTAAAGTTTATTTCATTGTACTTTTCTCTTCCTGTTTTTTATGACTGTCAATAATTTATTATTTCGGTTGTTGCCTAACCAAACCTTTGATTGCAGTGTTCATGTTCTTTTCCAGGTACATTAGTTCCCAAATGTTAAAATTGTCTGTTTCCCTTGCTTTGAATTACCTCTTCTTTTTCCACATTCTTCTTTAGTTTCAGTTCCCAGCAATGATTTGTGTTGTCCCAGTTCCAAACTGCCTGGTATATCCTTCTCCAGAACATCACATTATAAATCAAAGGAGATTAACTTCACTTTATTCATCTTTTGGCAGACCTAATTTTTTGTATTAATAATGTTGAAGGTTCCTTTCCTATCATTCTATTCATTTGGATTTTGGACATATTGCTCAAAATTCTAAGTAGGTTGTTTCAAGCCAAGAATCTTGACTCGCTGTACCTATACCTTCTAAAAATAGATAGTTGATATTTCATTAATTCTTTGGCTAGCATAATCATGGTCATCGCTAAGCGCATGGAAATGAGAAGGCATGACTGTTCCTTTTTTGACACTTTCAATATTGGCTAGTTACACTATAATTTCGTTATAACCTGATGTTATTTAAGTGCCACCCATTTCCTAAATCACTCCCTGGTGCAGTTTATTGTGAACTCAAGGACAATAAATCAATGCTGTTCAATACTGGTATGTGAGATTATGGTCCTAACTTTATTTGGAAAAGGAAATTAGACAAAAAGAATGCTGAAGTCATCACCCAACTAAGTTTATAGTGATTGTATTTTTTAAGAAAAAAACAATAAAAGCAATTGTACAGAATTTCAAAACAAAATAACAGTAAATTATCAATGGTTAACATAATGTGTAATGTTATCTTCAGAGTAGTTGCTCAAATTATAAGATATAGGCATGCATAATTGATCGAATAATATAAGCACAAATCATTTTTTCAGTGAACTAAAAGAAATCAGTAGCACAACTATGTTAGCTCATGTGTGTGTGTGTGTGTGTGTGTGTGTGTGTGTGTTCCCTTCCTTTTCTTCTTTCACCCTTCTCATTTGTTCTTGAGCAGTTTCTTTCCCTGCCATAATGTCTGTTACAGACTTTGGGATCTTATTTATGTTTTCAATTTCTTACACCAGGAAGATAATATGATGTTTGTACATATGAGTTTGATTCATTTCACTTAGTTGCATCCATTTACCTATAAGATCTTCAACGTTATCCTTCTTTATAGTTGAGTAGTATTCCCGTATATAAAAATACCACATCTTTTTTTTTTTTTTTTGTCCTTTCCTCAGTTGATGAGTATTTGGGTTGTTCCAAGATTTAGTTATTACAAATTGTGTGCTATAAGCATGGGTGCACATATATTTCTGTGGTGTGATATTTTTAATTCTTCTGGGGTAATACCAAGAAGAGGACAAGTTGGGTCTAATGGGACCTCTAGCCCTAGTTTTTGAGGAATCTCCACACTGATTTCCATAATGTTTGTACAGTCTACCCTTCCACAGACAGTGGAGAAGAGTTTCTTTTTCCCCAGAGCTCCACCAGGTTTTGTTATTGGTTGATTACTTGATGATAGCCATTCTTTCTGGAGTAAAATGGAATAAAACCTGTTTTGCTTTAATTTGCATGTCTCAAGTGACCAGTGATCTTGAAAAATTTGCATATTATTTGCCATTTATATTTGTTCATGTCAGAAGTCTGTATTCATCTCAGATGCCCATTTTTGGACTGGGTCTTTGAATTTGGGGGAGTCTGATTTTTTTTTTTCAATTCTTTATACATTCTAGATTGAAGTCTCTTGTCTGAGGGACAGTTAGTTAAAATTTTTCCCATTCTGTAGACTTTCTTTTAACTCTTTTTGTGATTTCTTTTGATCTGGAAAATATCTTTAATAAGATGAGATCCCAGTTCTTGATTCATTGAAATACTATGTAGTTAGGTTTTTATTGATGAACTCTCTGCCTATCCCCATGTCTTCAAGATTTCTACTTACTTGCTCTTCCAGTAGATTTAGTGTTTCTGTTTTAATATTTAGAACTTTGATCCATTTGACTTTACTTTAGTACACGGTGATAGACATGGGTGTAGTTTTAGTCTTTGTCATATAAAGAGGTGGTTTTTCTAGCACCATGTATTAAAGAAGCTATTTTTCCTTCTAGTGAGCATGTTTTGCTCCTTTGTAAAGTATAAATTAACTGTGTTTGTAGTTGTGTCTACATCTTCTAATCTGTTCCATCAATCCTCAGGTCTGGTTTTTTTGCAAGTACCATGCTGATTTTATCATGGTAGCTTTGTAATGTAATTTCAAGTCAGAAATTGTAAGGCCTCCTACCTTACATTTGTTATCCAGGATTGCCTTTGCTATTCTAAGTCTTTACTGTTACCAAATGAATTTTAGTATTTTTTTTTATATCTGTGAGGCATACTAATTGTTATAGGGGCTGCATTAAATCTGTAAAACTGTTTTGGGAGTCCAGCCATTTTAACAGTGTTTGCTCTTCACATACATTAGCAAGGGATATCTTTCCATTTTTGATAACCTTATCAATTGTTTTTTTTTTCACAGAGTTGCATTTTTCATTGCATAGAACTTTTACTTCCTTTCTTAGATTGATTCCTAAGTATTTCACTTTTTGGATGTGACTGTGAAGAGTGTGGTTCCGTTTATTTCTCTCTCAGTGAGTTTGTTGTTTGCATATAGGAATACTATTGATTTTTGAGGGTTGACATTGTATCCAGCTATGCTCCTGAACTTGGTTAATATTACAGAAGTCTTTTGGTGGACTTTTAGGGATCTTCTATGCAGAGTATCATGTTCTTTGCAAATAATGGTAGTTTAACTTCTTTCTTTCCTGTTCTTCTTCCTTTTATTTCTCTCTCTTGTCTAATTGCTCTGGCTAATGTTTCCAGAAATGTACTGAATAAGAGTGGTGACAATGAGCATTCTTGTCTTGTTCCTGATTTTAGAGTGAAAGCTTTCAGTTTTTGTGCATGTAGTATGGTGTTGGCTGTTGGTTTGTCATAGATGCCATTATTAGATTCAGGTAAAGACTATCCAGTCTGATTTTCTCTAGGTTTTTTTTTTTTTTTTTTAAATCATGAATGAATGTTGAATTTGACAAAAGTTTTTTCTGCATCTATTGAGATGCTCACGTGATTTTTGCCTTTGTGTTGATATGGTTTCCAACATTTACTGATTTGCATAAGCCAAACAATCCCTGCATTCCTGAGATAAATCCTACTTGGTCATGGCATATAAACTTCCTGATAAATTGCTGCCTTTTTGTTTTGGTAGTATTTTATTGAGGGTTTTTATATCAATGTTCCTCAGGGAAGCTGACCTATAGTTCTCATTGGATTGAGTTTTTCTCTAGTTTTGATATCAGATAATACTTGCCTCCAGGAATGAGTTAGAAAGAGGTGCTTCCCTTTCAATTTAATTAAAGAATTTGAGGAGTATTGATATTAAATATTCTCTAAAATTGTTGCAGCATTTGGCTGTGAATCCACTAGGACCTGGGCTTTTACATCTTCTTGGTTCAGCTTTGGTTATTTATACATTTCTCAGAATCTGTCCACTTCTTGCGTGCTTTCTATCCTACTCAAGAAAAAAATTTTGATATAGGTATAGATGATTTTCTGAATTTTCACAGGATCTGTAGTAATGTCACCCTTTTCATTCCATATTTCATGAATTTGAGGTTTTTCTCTCCTTTTTTGATAAGGTTAGCTAGGGGCCTATTGATTTTGGTTATTCTTTCAATGAACAAACTCTTCAATTCATTAATTCTTTCTATTATTTTCTTGGTCTCAATTGCATTAATTTCTGTTCTGATCTTTATAATTTCTTCCTTTGTATGGAATTTTGACTTGACTTGCTCTTT